CCGCGCTCAGCCAGTGAGCGGGAACCGGTCTCCACATGGGATCTGACCCCTCGGCGGAGCGCCGCCACGCTCCCAAGCAGCGCACTCTCCAGTGCGCCACCGGGCCAGCCCTCTACTTTTATTTTTTTAAACACACAAAGATTAACATCCTTATTGCAAAAAGAACTCTTAAAAATGACTTAGAAAAATCTGATCAGAAACTTGGTGAAGGACATGAGCAGATAAGTCACACACTCCAAAGAAAGACACGTGGTTAATAAGTACATTTTAGGATCTGGTTGCAGGCAGAGGTGCGGCTGGCCCGGTCCTCCCGTCTCAGAATCTCAGAATCTCAGGTTTAATAGGTTGGCTGTTTCCATTGCTGGCCTGGATGTGCAGCAGGGGCGGGGCTAAGGCCCATGGTCCCCATCTCTCCAGACCCCCTGGGCGGTGGGCTGGGTCTGTTGCTAGCCTGGATGTGACAGCAGGAGTGGGGCTAATGCCCATGGGCCTTGTCTTTCAGGTCCCCTAGGAGTCAGGCTGGCTCCATTGCTGGCCAGGATGTGTGGCCTAAATTGCTTATATTTAAAGTGGACAGTTGATAAGTTTTGATGTAAATATACACCTGTAAAATCATTACCACAATCAAGGTCCATCTCCCCCAAAAGGCCCTTGGTGCTCTTGTGGTTCCTTCATCCCACGCCTGTGCTCCCCACTTCCCAGAACCACTCGTCTTCCTGCACTGTAGTTCAGTTTTCATTCCGTGCAGTTCTAGGTAAATGGCATCATAGAATTTGCATTTTTTCCTAGCTTCTTTTGCTCAACGTAATTGTTTTGAGATCCGTCCATGTCATTGTGTGTATTAGTAGTTTATTACTTTTTATTGCTAAATAGTATTCCATTATGTGGACATACCATAAATTGTGTATTTATTAAGCTGTTGATGGACATTTGGGTTGTCTCCAGCTTGTGGCTATTATAAGTAAAGCTTCTGTGAACATTCTTGTACAAGTCTTTGCATGGACATATGCTTTCATTTCTCTTGGGTAAATACCTAGGGGTGGAATGGCTAGGTCATATGATGGGCGTATGTTAGTGTTTATGAAACTGCCAAGCTATTTTCCAAAGTAGTTGTACCAATTTAGATTCCCTCTAACAGTGTATTATCATTCCAATTGCTGCATAATGCTTGGTGCTAGTCATTCTGTTTAATTCTAGACATCCCAATAGGGGTGTTATGACACCTCACTGTGCTTTTAATTTGCATTTTTGCTATGACTTATGATGTCGAGAATCTTTTTATGTGTTTATTTGCCATCTATATATTTTCTTTGATATATTTTCTTATATATCTTATGTCCATTTTTGAAATGTTGGGTTGTTTCTTTATTGTTGAGTATTGAGTTTTTAAAAATATATGTTCTATATATGAATCTTTTTTGAAATATGTGGGAAAGAATATTTTCTCCCACTTTGTGGCTTGTCTTTCATTCTGTTAAGAGCATCTTCTAAAGAACAGAAGATCTTAATTTTGATGAAGTTTAGTTTATTATTTGTTTTCTTCTATGAATTGTGCTTTTGGTATAGAAATCTTTGCCTTAATCAAGGTCACAAAGATTTTATATTGTTCTTCTAATAGTTTATAGTTTTACATTTTACATTTGGGTATATGATCTGTTTTGAGTTAAATTGTGGCAAGAGGTGTTTTTTGTTGTTGTTCTTTGTTTTGCATGACACTGTCTAGTTGATCTAGCACCATTTAATTTGAAGACTCCTTTCTCCAGAGAGTTGCCTTTGCACCTTTGTTGAAACTCAATTGACAATATATGTGAGGGTCTAGTTTTGGACTCTTTTCTGTCCCACTGATTCATTTTTGTATCATTAAGCCAATATCATACTTCATAGTAAATCGTGATAGCTTTATAATAAATCTTAAAGTCAAGTGGTATAAGTCCTCCAACTTAGTTCTTTTATTTTTTTTTTCCCCTTTTTGTCTTTTTTACTGACCGGTAACGGGATCGCAACCCTCGGTGTCACGCCCGTACCGGGGACCGGCAATGGGATCTCAACCCTCGGTGTTGCACCCACACCGCGCTCAGCCAGTGAGCGGGAACCGGTCTCCACATGGGATCCGAACCCTCGGCGGGAGCGCCGCCGCGCTTCCAAGCAGCGCACTCTCTGGTGCGCCACCGGGCCGGCCTCCAACTTAGTTCTTTTTCAAAGTTTGGCTATTTCTTTTTTTTTTTTTTTGTGACCGGTAACGGGATCGCAACCCTCGGTGTCGCACCCATACCGCGACCAGCAACGGGATCACAACCCCCAGTGTCGTGCCCGCACCACGCTCAAACAGTGAGTGGACCGGTCTCTATATGGGATCTGAACCCTTGGCTGGAGCGCCACCATGCTCCCAAGCACCGCACTCTACTGAGTGCACCACCGGGCCGGCCCAAAGTTTGGCTATTTCTAAGCCCCTTACCTTTCTATATAAATTTAAGAATCAGCTTGTCACTTTCCACCAAAAAAAAAAAAAAAAATCCTGTTGGAACGTTTATTGGGATTGTGTTGAATCAACAGTTCAATTTGAGGAGAATTGACATTTTAGCAATATTGAGTTTTCCAATCCATGAACACAAGTATACATCTTCATTTATTTAGATATTGTTGGGACACAGGGGTCTCTCCTGTTTCTTCATGTCTTATAAACAGGAGAATTGACCTCCTTTTTTTCTGGATATCTTTTCAAGAACATGTGTATAGTGAACGTCTTTAGAAGATTATAGACACTGTCTCTAAGAGCAAACGGTGGGTTTGTTTACATTCATGTAATAAAGATAACGTTTCTGTCTAGGGAAAAAGTAAGGCAGTTACTAATTACCCATTATAAAAGATTTGGGTTCCCTGAGCCTGGGGTTGCTCTCCTGTAATGCAGCCCACAGCATGTGCAGGCCCTGTAGAATCAGGTCTTGAGTTGGCAGAAATGCTGATACTCTCTGGCTATGGCCATTGCTGTGAGTAATAAAGCTCTTTGTCTCAGACTCAAGAGTCTGTGTCCTCTTCTAGCATGCTAACTTGTTATTTCGCAAGTAGGGTAAAACCTCAGACCTTCTGCAGTTTAAGGGAAGGTCAAGGTTTGTACTCCATGATAACACTCACCCATCAAGGTTGACCAAACAGCTTTTTTTTCTCTTGATAATCATAGAATCAGAGGTGGTTCCTGAACCTGACCCTTAAGGTTTTTGGCCAATATAAACTATATTAGCTATTTGTTTTGGGCCATATGCATGCAGACAATATCAATTTGTGGGAGGGGTGGCAGTGGTAAGAGGGAGAGAATAATTAAATAGTAATCTCTAGG